GCGTCTCATAAGAGGCGAGGAGAAGAAAGAGAACTTGAAGGGAACTGCCTATATATATACATATATAAATATACATACACGTATATCTATGTTTATGTACTTCTACACATATACATTTATTTATACGCATCACTGAGTCAGAACCGACTTCAACTTGGTGACCTGCTCGAATTGTGACAGCGAATTTTTACGCTTACGCGTATGTTACGGATTTCTTCATGCTAAATAATGATTACGAAGCAGGTTAAGTTTTTGATTTTTAGATTCGCTTTTTTTTTCTTACTGTACGGTTTGCATTTCTGATCTGTCGTTTCAGGCTCGTTGTTGTTCTTAGGCTTATGCTGCTTAACTATTCGCTAATTTACTTCATGGAACTTGTTCCTTACCTTTATTGGAATAAGTAAATTCGGAAAAAGTTTTTTTTTTTCTTTTCAATGGCAGTGCAGATGTATCTTCATATTTAATAGATTTTGCCTAACTTTAGCTGTGCAGTAAACTTCTTACATACTAGACTATTTAGTGCTGTTTAGTACGTACCTCAACGAAAATCCTGCAACAAAAGTGAAAGAATGGAAAATATCTCTGTAAGGTTTTATGCTTTCTTCTATTTTCCTCCTGTTGGCTTTGAAGTTATTTAGAAATTTTGCTGTGCACACTGTTTTGAATGTTTGTTTGTCGTGAAATTTATGAGTTTCATGTGGTTAACTAGTAGTTAGTATTAATAAATATGTGTAACCGGTAATTATGGTAATGAGCTTAAATACTCACATGTGTGGTCCGTTTACGCTGTTATTGTTGTTACCAGCTTTTGATTTTTGTGTGTTTTCGTTGTTTGAAATGTGGAAGAAAATTCTGATTTACGAGACAGCGCGTGTTCAGAAAGTGAGTTTTAGGTTAAATTAAGTTCTCCTCTTTCAATGAAAGGAGTAGATCCGTTTTCGCTTGCTCAGGAAGGGGAGCGGCTATGTAGACAGAGCAATTATAAAGCCGGTTTGAATTTCTTCTCAGTGTTTTTTGTTACTAGATTTACTTTGGCTGGTTTCAGTGCGCTGGAGAACTTTCGAGATTACTGCATCTCGTTTTTTAGGTATTGAATATCTCGAATTAGCTTTGAAACGGGGACTGAATAGGGATAGTGAAAGCCTGGAAGCCGTTTCAGCGGTTTATTCGCAGTTAGGCAATGCGTACTATGCACTCAAGGACTTCGATATGGCTTTACACTACCACGACTTGGATTTGGAAACAGCCAAGTATTTCTTATGCCCTTTACCCATTTTATTGAATTGTTTGTCGAAGTTTTATTTTTGTTCACAGTTTCTCCTTTACTCTTCTGCAGGTTACTGCATGATGAATCTGGGGTAGGCAAAGCACATGGGAACATTGGCAATGCATACAAAGCTGTTGGTGACTTCAAGAATGCTTACGAACATTCAGTGCGGCATTTGAATATAGCTCAGAAACTAGGAGACAAAGTTCGTTTTTTTATTTTGTAGTTTTCCTCTGTTCGATGTGGGCGTGAATCCTAGTTTTCTCGTTGATTGCTTTTGTTTTAGTGAATCATTAGAACTTTACGTTTGAGGACTTGAACTTTTTAAGGAGTGCGAAAGTCGTGCACTATATAATTTGGGTTCCATTCTTCACTGTCGTGCAAAGGCAAGGTTGCCTCCATGCTTTCGTTTTGAGGAGAACAGTTTAACTGTTGACTGCGACCCTGCTGTTGTGGCTGATTTACGGAAGGCCATCGATTATTATCTGTTAGCATTTTAAGTCATAAACGTGATTTTGATGACGGTGAGAAATGTGAATTTCTGGAAATTGTGTTTCCTTTTTCGTTTTGTAGACAAAACCTGTATATTGTTGAAAATGCAAAAGATTGGGCAGCGTGCGGACGGACGTACGGGAATTTAGGAAATTGTTACTATATGTTGGCTGATTATAAAACTGCAATAGAATATCACAAAAAGGTCCAGACTCGTTCACTGTTTTAAATATTTATTTTTGGGTTTTACACTTTTCTGCTTTGGCTCCTCTTCTCGTTAGTCCTATACATATTGTAATTCTGTTTCAGAGGCTTGACTTAGCACGACGGTTTGGCGATAAGAGTGCCATGAAGCGTGCATATACAAATCTTGGAAATGCATTTATTTTTCTTAAGCAGACAGCAAAAGCAGTTGAGTTTTACAGGTAAAAAGCTGGTTAAATTAAGTGACTAATGACGGGTATTTGAAATCAATATCTATCTTGTGTTAAGGTTGGCCCTTGAAATGGCAATGGAACTGAAAGACGAGGTTTCTGAAGCACAGTGCTGCTTTAATGCTGGTAACGGTTCAGCAATTTCAGGAGAACATGCAACAGGTAGTTCTTCCATTTGCCGCGTAAAATTTCGATATTAAAGCAATTTTAAGATGTTAAACATTGCTTTGTTATATAAGCTAATGAAGATTTCGTTTCATGTCAAGTTTTTAGCAGTCGATTATCATTTGAGACACTTGCAAATTTCTCGTAAGTTACAAGATAAATCCGGCGAAATTAGAGCGTGTGCAGCTCTGGCAGCAGATTATAGAAACTTGGATGCGCCAAAGAAAGCGGCATATTTTTATGCGCTTGGTATGGAGTTAGCTTCAAAGGTGGTTTTTAAGTCATTGTTTCACACTTTATATTTTCGTTCCGCTCGAAAGAGTCTTCTATTCTCCTCTTACTTTTTCTTCCGCTATTATTTTTTGTATTTCTTCAAGGTGTTATTTTTGACACTTAACACTCTTCAGGGCCATGATCACTCGAGTGAATTGGCTTTAAGAAGTTCATTTGAAACTTTGTACAGGACAAATGACAGCAATACGGATAAAAGAATATGCAGTTTGATTGAGATAGATCCATCGGCAGACCCTTTGCCGCGATCTGTTTCTCAGTTAAATGCTTCGATAAAATCCCTTTTGTGTCGAGGTGACTGTAGCGATTGTGGCTTATCTAGGCGTGGTATCGGCGACTTTTCAACAGTTGGTACAGGAACAGATGACATTGTGGGTCTTCACTGGATGCAAAAAATATTGTGATGTCTTGAAAACGTTTAAAGTTTTGAAACGCTGGATAGTTTGTGAAGAAATCTATTTTTTAAGTTTTACTTCTGTTTTATTGTAGCCTAGTCAAGATAGAGATGGAATTGATGAGGAGTTTATGGACTTATTAACTCGTGCGCAAGCAAAACGTATTAATGACCAGAGGTGTGACCCTGACATGCTTGCTGACTTGACTAATCGTACAAATGGCTCTGTGAGGCAGTCCGACAGTCTCATGTGCACGGGAGGTATTCGTTTTTTTTGGTCAGCATTTATTTGTTTTTTTTTTTTTTTTTTTTTTTTTT